CAAAATACTTAGTTTACATGACCAACTTATAAATTTGAATGTCAAATCAATTCTGTATACCGGTACAGCAACTTTGAAATGATCATTAGTTTCATTAATTCCTTACTCATTCACTTTTTTCATACAGACCTTTTACTATTAATCCAAATCCAAATCCAATTTAAGTCTACGTTGTAGCTAGTTAATTAAATGTTGAATGTACATCTATGCATTTTTTTTCCTTCTCATTTCTATATGTATCTCATTCTAATTCTATCTCTCTGCTCCTCAGAATAGTTTACTAGATCGATGGCGTATACAAATAAATGCTGTATTATTATTATTATTATGATTATCAAAACTGAATTATAGCTGAAAACAGAAATTCTGATTACAAATCTTTAAAAAATAAACATTGAAGTGTTGAAAAAGTCCAATAACCTCTAAAAGCTCTACGAAAAACACCTTATTATTTTATTGTTAATACTGTCTCAGAAATCTCCATACAGTATCAACGAAACATAAACTGTCATACAACTTTAAACCCTGCATGACTTTCCTAAGCTGACGACACGTATTTAGGATAAGAGATGTTCATGTGCTGTAACAGCTACATACAAATGATTCATCACACGTACTTTCCAAGGTCCTCAGAATTCATTACGAGACATGCCCCAATCAAACACGTATACATATAAGCACAGATAATAACCCACGCAGTTTTATCCCGTCTCATCTTCGTTACATTCCATCGATGCACCGATCTTATCCATAAATGCTTTCCTGACGATGTTTGGCGCAGAATTTCAAACTTTAAGCATGTAAAGATCTTGATTCTGCTCATTTCAGTTTTCCTTGATGTAAATTGGCAATTTGAGAACAGATAAAATTACAGAAGGCCTATTGAAAGAACATCTCCATCACTTGCACCGTGCCCATGTATAGCGGCTTTAAATGAAGGATCACTTAAGAGCTATACAAAATATATACATATTGAGATCTCACTTTTAAATGCTGCTCATGCTACGCCTCCCTCACCCAGTTCATGATACAGTGTTTTGTGTTCAATATTCAATGCTAAGTGTCGTCCGTAATTCTTCCCAGATTTCCGACCCACAACTACAATGTACATGTGCACTCAATCATAAAATACATCGTACCTAGTACATAGCATAGAAAAGTGTGATTTGTAACACAATGATATTATTGACTTATAAAATCACACAAAATGTTATCCATGGTTTCCATCTCTTACTGGGGAGACAGTAATCCAGAAACTGGATAAGTTCAAGTTACGTCACAAACACTCTACCAACCATATTTCAAGTACATACCATATGAGCATTTACGCATCGTTATTTTGATCGGTACCTGGTGCATTTCATTAGAGAGATAAATTCATGCAATTCCAAACTCCGAAGCCAGAGTCGTAAAAACTTCAGTAGAACCTTCGCAACTGTCTTCCTCTGCAAACATAAACCCTACGTCTTTCTCTCATTCTGGAATTTTGTCAGACTTTCCTAAGATGCAATTTGAGAATGGGGCAGCTACCCATAAGCATGATGAAAAACATGAATCAAAGTTTTCAAAGTTTTTTTTTTAAATTCCGGCCGAAACGCTTTTGCAGTGTCAATGCTCGCACTAAAACACCAGTGATCGATTCTGCTTTTCCTTCACATTACTCTCTTCACTTCCGTGCTAATACACGCAGAGCAGCAACAAGTGATGCATGCGCACAATCCACACACAAACAAAAACAGAATAACAGAATGGTAGCTCAAAAGACTGATTTTTTAAATTGGTCTTTCTGCAATGCAAATGGGCCTTTTGCTGATGAAATACTTGAATTTAAAAATTAACCTGTGGATTGCTGGGTTTTTTGTTTGTTTTTTAATTGCGTCTGGAATGCTTCTGGTATTGCATTGTACATGCTCACTTTCTCAAAAAACAATGAATTACTATGTTTTCCAGTTTTGGCTCACATGGTCACAAGTTTCATTCCTAGTAAATTTCGGGATAAATCGGCAATACCGCATTGATAGTTACGTGAGCTTGTGAAATAAAAAAAAATTCTCTTTGACCTCAGAAATGCAATTTGATTTTTGAGCATCCATTTCAAAGCTCTCAGCCCAAGAAATCTTAGGCGTGGTGGCTGTTACAGTATGTGATGTAGACAAGAGATTTCATAGCACACAATATAAAATTATCATCTGTTTCTTTCTTTACAGATCACTGCGAATCGTTATGACGGATTCAACAGCCATCAAAGCTTGAGCTATCATCATAACTGAGGCTAATTATATATTAGAAGAACAAAAATCTAGAATCTTATTTCACGTTTCAAATATTTTGCAAGAAATTGCAATTATAAAGAGAAAGTTCACCCAGCATCTAGTTAGTTTTAATAAATGCAGAATGAAATTGCATACTTTAATTTTTGCTAGGTAGGACAAGCATTAAGGCTTTTCCTACCTAACAACACGTAATCTATGCAATTTGCATTCTGACTATTGAAATACAAATATTTGTAACAGGTGAATGAAACAAATTGTAATAAAGCACTTAACAAAGATTTGTGCATTACATTTGATTACATTACGAAAATGGCCTACTGCGTAAATCTCCCTACAGTACATGATGATTCATGTTTTAATCAAACATGACAATGCCATTATGTGCGATAACTGTACCTAACCATTCGTGAAGTAAATCAAGGGGGTGACCTTAACACCTGATGACCCTCCAACCTTATCAGAACATCTGCACATAGTGATGCATACTGGTACATGTACTATTACAGTCAAACCTGTCTAAAGCAACCACCCAAGGGAAACACAAAAAGTGGTCTTTGTAGACAGGTGGTCTTTGTACACAGGTTTCCTTTATACATCTTTCAATGAGAAACCATTTTCAAGGGAAACGCATAAAGTGGTGTTTGTAGACAGGTTCCTTTAGTACATGTTTCAATGAGAAACCATTTTCAAGGGAAACGCAGAAAGTGGTCTTTGTAGACAGGTTCCTTTAGTACATGTTTCAATGAGAAACCATTTTCAAGGGAAACGCAGAAAGTGGTCTTTGTAGACAGGTTCCTTCAGTATATAAGTTTCAATAAGAAATCATTTTTAAGGGAAACAAAAAGTGTAGTCTTTGTAGACAGGTGGTCACTAAAGCTCCTTAAAGCTTAAAACTCCTGCTCAATGAAAATCCATTCAAATATTCATTCAAGAATGCATCAGATCTAAAAATATCTGCAGGACAGACAGACAGAAGGACCTTTTGGAAAATAATCATGAACATTTGTATTTCCTATCGCCATGGTAAATACTAAATAGCAAGTTTTCATCGAGCATGTGGTACCAGAGCCTTCACAAACCACTTACACCTTCTGACTCTGACTCTGCAGAGGAGACTTCCAAGGAATCTCAGGGATCTTAGTCTGCAACTTGTCATCAATTAAGAGAAAACATGAAAATGCATCTTCCGTGAGAGAATCAAATAATTTGTGTGCAATTGATGATCCATAGCCTCATTTTTTTTCTTTCTTTTTTAATCTAATTGGGTTTTTACTTTTTATGGGGTCATTTTGAAGCATGCTATAATGCAGTGTGGTGTTTATTGTGCAGAAAAATTGATATCTTCACTCTACGCATGCAGGGTTCTTACTAAGTTAACTTATATCAGGAAAATTGAATGTAGAAGCCAGTAAGCAGAAATTACCTTGCTGTACCTTTGAGACACAAATTGCCCAAGGAAAAATGTGCCCCAATTCTTGGCAAATTTCATGTTTATATGAAGTACTCTACTTACGGTTTGCTCGTTTCATGTTCCTGCTACCCTAATGATCCTAACCTCATTTTGTTTTGAAGATTTCAAGGATTGCAAATGTCTGACGCTATCTTTAATGTCGGAATTATGTAAACCACAGAGCCATGAAAGACATCCCCCTTGATTAATCCGGGCATTGCGCTGGCAATGACAGGCAAGCCCGTAATTTCTCTGTAATTGTTTTGTCTGAGGGTGCGGCATACTTCAAAACGTGAAACGGCTTGCTCCGCTGCCTCATTGCCACCCAGCCGGATTAACACTCGTGACTAGACAGTCGGGCTTACCTTAAGTTGGGCAAACGAGGTTTTCCAAAACATGCCAGTCGTCTTAGAATTAATCAGGTGAAGAGATCATGGGACGAGAGAAGCGACTGAAAAAGTTCAAGATATATTGTCACCCAAATGAAGAAAATATGAACCAAAGCAAGCAAGCGAAAGAGAGAGAGCGAGCATGACAGAGAGGGAGGGAGAGAGAGAGAGAGAGAAGCGAGGGGGCATTCAACTATAACTGCTTGGGGGGATAATGACAACATTCAATAATGTTCCATGAATGTACTTTGCAAGTTCATAATCATACATGAGCTTGTGGTTTACTTTTAAAGCTAATTGAGCATCGTAGGCACTAAGCAGGCAGAGCTGGAAATTCGATTTTCTTTTTGCCTCTCTGATAAGGCTAATTGATTTTTACTCTCCACAATATTCCTAATTCAGCATTTTCCATTTATGAAGCCCACTCCATTACCAAGATGACTCGAGGGTGGTAATAAAATGCAGGATTTCAAGTTCTCAAACTTTCTGTGATAAAGTGGTGGCATTGTGATCTTGCTTGCTCTAATGTCTTGATCTTCATCGCATGCCTTCAAACACACTGGATGACAACCTCAGTACCCCCTCTACAAGCTTTGAACTGAAGTAACCCTCCTCCTCTTCCTTCACAAGTCCATATTTTGGTTTTGCCACAATGTACAGATATATGCTCCATCGACACCAACCTACTACATCACAAGCAATAATATGAACTACGAAGATAAAGATATACAAGGAGAAAAATAATCAAATTGTATTAATGGATGTTTTTGCTAGTGAGCCCAAACCTTCTTGACTAAATCTCTTTCAGAAAAGAAGAAAGAAGCAAAATTATCCTCAACATCCCCAATTTAAACTTTTGTGCATAAAAAATATGGCGCCTGGCCTTACCTGTTCTCTTATGGAAGGTGAAGGAAGCCTGGAAAGTGCTCGTCTGCCAGCCCTGGCTCCTGAAGACGATGCGGAGCTCGTTACCCTGTGACTGCACCACCAGAGGTAGGGGCTGCTCCCCTTGGCAGAGCGTGGCCAGCGGGGTAGCGGCCTTACCCAGGGGGCCGCCGCTCTTTATCACCGCCCTTGGTAGGCAGGAGCGGCCGGCGGCGGGAAGGGGCGTCCCTTCCAGCCGGGTTATGTTCAGCACTATGTAGTGGTCCGGAGGGGCGCAGACCCGGTAGCGACAGGTGGACGTGTGGGAGGTACCTCGGTTGTTGTTGCCTCGGTTGTCTTTGTGAAGTGTGTCAATGATTTGGCCAGACAGGTCGGTGAATCTCTTGGAGCACTCAGCTGCAATGTTAAACATATCAAACAACAATAAGTTATGTTGTATTCTATTACCTCTCGTACTGTACACTAAAAGACCATGGGCCAAGCCTCAAAATTCTTCAGTTCCGTGGTCCCCCCCCCCCCCCCCCCCCCCCGGAAGTACTTTATTGATCATTTAGGACAAATTATCAATGGACATATATCTAAGGCATTGGATATATGACTAATCAGATTAGTTAGATATGCACCTACATGTATCTTATAGGCTGTTAGCACATCTCTCACGTACCTACCTAAATTTGTTTAGCAAATCCCAACAAAAAGAAACATTGTAGATTTTAAGTAATGAATTCAAATTAAATCAAAGAAACATGCTGTAGTTTAAAACAAGATTAATATTTGACACTTGACAGGGTTTTACTTTATCATTTATTGCACATGTGGGCTCCACTTGACTTTCAGTACAAGACGTGGATTTATGACCTTGAATTTCTCAGAATTTCATCACTTAATGTTCCCTAATCTACAAATTTAACAGACAATAGATTTATTAAGTTTCAAAATGAAACTACATTCCTGTACAAGAGGGCATGTAAGATATCAAGCTCTTGATTTCACTTTGCCAGACAGAGCAAATATTTGTGGTTGACGTTAACAAGTCAAAAAACATTGTGGGTTTTGTCCTATTGATAACATGGGCATTTTACAACACACTGCTTCTTCCTGACGCAAGAACAAATAAGGCGGGACCGAGGGTTCATACTTCAATGGATACCAGACACCCTTTACAACGATTACATTTACAGAGAATCCTCGTAATATACTGATCAGTCTACGAGAAGGGTCCCCGACGACGAGTGTAATCTTTGCGGTGAGACATTCTTAAACTCTGCGGTTAGCATTGCCTAATATTGCGGTTTTGAAAGTGAAGACTGTGGTTTTGACACACGTGTACAAAGATATTTGGGGAGATCATTGCCCACATCCACTAGTTATTGATAAAGAATTCCCACTTCCAGTTCTAGAAAGTACCTTAGTGTTTGACATAGTTTAGTTTAGTTTTGTTTATAATGGATTTTACGATGATGAGAAGATAGTTAATCAGAGAAATATTTGAAACAGAATGAACCTTAAAGGTAATACAAAGTTTTGGTACGGGGTCATGAATTTGGTTCAAATGAACATATTGGAAGCATATGCGACCCTACAATATTCAGTGATCGTTGGCGCAGTTGAAATCGAGTCTAAAGTTGTGAAATTTTAAATAATAAACTATTTATGTTGTATAGCTCCCTCTCAAGGTCAAGATATTAATTAAGCTATAAAACAATGTTTCTTGACTAAAATCGACCAATTAGCTATTCCCGTTTGGAAATTAGTTATCACAACTACATATTATGAGATTTTCAGGGTCGCAGCTACCATTGTACGGCCGTAGTCGCTATTCGAAATTTTATCAAAATTTACCGGGAGCACCGGTAAATTTTTATATTCAAATTTTCTCGAAAGCAGAAGTGTTTTAGGGGCTAAATTTTCTAGTACTTCTAATACATCCACAGGGGCATCCAAATATATCAAAATTGTAAAGAATCACTATCCACCCAATTTTCAAAATTCCCAAAACTTTATATTACCTTTAACAAAGTGCATGTTGGTTTGAAAATGAGGTCTTTAAACATTCACACTATATGCAGATGAAGGCATGGGAGTGAATCCATGTAGGCTAGTATAGCGGATGAGGGCCTGGTTGATGTACCGTAAAAGAGGGGAGAAGAAAGAAATGTGTCAACACGAGCCGCCCCAACAAGGGGAAGGTCGGTCGAAGGGAGAGAATCTGAGGATTGTGGGAGAAATGTTATTACAGTGCAAATCCTTCCACGCCTTGACCCAAAATAGCATTGTCTGTCTGTCCGTACAGCGATCGATCAGGAGTATTCGTAGCACCGAGCCAAACTCTAGCGCATGATGATCCTTGTATGAAACGCCTTTACAGAACGGCAAATGAATGTGGTAGGAATTGATTTAGAGGATATTAATGATGACATTTGTATCTATGTAGTGCTAAATCAGGGCTCCACATTAACTGTATATATGTTAAAGGGACTTGGTTACATTGTTCCGATGAGAGAAAATGGTGCTAAGGTAGCAACTTCAATGCTAGATGTACAATTAAAGATAATCTGAAAGTTTGAGTGCAAACAGACCATTATTAATGATACAAATTGGAAAAAACTGATCTGATTGATTCCTTAATTCTCCCAACTATAATTATTATTACAATTTAATAGTAAATGAAAATGGTCAAAGCAATGAATCAGCTCTCTATAGTATACCATTCCAGAAATATTAGTGTTGAGAAACTTTCAAAAGCCTGTTTTATGTCTTATTTTCATAGAAAAATGGTTGGGAAAATTCATAAATGGTTGGGAGATTTATTGTTAGAGGGTGTCGAACACTGACACCTTCAAAGAAAATCATATATCTTTGTTGTTTGAGAATTTTGTCAGGTTTTTTTTGCACGTTAGAGGGTTAGTACAGTAGAAGGAATATAATAAGTGACATTTCTCACAAAAATTACGCAGTTTTTTCATCAACATTCAACAATGTTACCGAGTCACTTAAAGGGGCAGGATTGAAATTTTGGGGTTAACATGTGTGCATTGAGCCCTATGTAAAAAAAAAAATGGGGGGGGGGGGGTCTGGACCTAGATTTTGGGCACCCATGTGTTCCGGCACCCGCCAGTGTCGAATCCTGGTTAAATACAAAGCTGTCAAATATGTTTCCATGTTCCTCAAAACGATGTTGTTGTGGGACTCATGCCCACATAAAAAAACTTGTGTGGCCTAGTAACCCCTCATAAAAGTAATGTGATCTTGATTTCTGTTACTGTTTGGTTTCCAAAGTATCCAGACGCAAATTTGACCCAAAATATTATGTTAAAAGGAAAAAGGAAATTCTTATTTTTTTAATGTGTACATTTATGGATGGATAATTCAACACCTGTTGTGTGACTTTGCATAAACACAAAAGGAGCGGTTTTCATTACAAGCACAGGAATTTACTACATTGGCACACATTACTGATATATGATACAATCTTGAGCCGAAACCCATCTAAAATTCTATATATTATCCATCTCAACATCTCCGTGTTGGAAAGGGGTTTTCCCTAGACTCTCCCAGCATTAATGATGCATAATGCAAATGTGATCGGGGGAGAAAAGGGGGAGAAAAGAAAAAAATTGTATGTTATTTCTAAAAAGTAAGTGTTCAAAATTATTGATGTAAATTTTGAGTTCATCCGGCAGAATTTCAAAGGCATGTGTGAAAGTTATAATAGAAAAGATAATGTTTATTTTATAATTCCACGGGTGATTTTTAATTTTGCAATAGTCCATGTGAGCAATCTGACGGAGGCGATTTTTTTTTTTTTTTTACAGCTCACGGGGGCGAATCGTCCATCCCCCCATGTCTTTTGTGCATTACCGTGTTAACTATTCTCAGGGTTAAGAGTACTCGGTGGGTATTCAGCACATTTACGCTAATTCTTTGCATTTTGTTGGACTTAAAGATAAACTCCAGTACTGGTAAAAAAAAAAAAATTAATTCTCACAGAATCAAACGAAACTTACACTGAATGTTCAAGATTACAAATAAATGACATGTGCCAAACAATTTTGGAAGAAAATGTATACTGGCTGAGTAATGAGCATAGAAAGACAAGGAAACCAAGGTAGTACCATCCCCGACACGATGTGTGTTGTCCCATATATAGCTTTCTATGTGAGTGTTTGTTACTTTACCAAGACTCGGTCAAATTTATTATGATTTTGATGACTCCAGAACCTTGCAGTGCACACCAATACTTACATGCTACATGATCAACTGTTTCTGATCCTTTCACACCTTTTCTTTCACAATGCAATCGCATTACCAGTACTAAAGTTTAGCTTTAACCAAACCGAAACTCATGATGGTTTCATAAGAATTTAGAATTCACAGATAATTGAAATTATTATCTTGGCATTATGGTTTACTACGAGTAGGAATTGGTAAATTACAAAACATGGATCTATATAAGTCATTATGCATATACAAAAACTACAATGCTACACAGACGGCATTACGTACTGATGATTATTCCTATGTTGTAAACGGTGAGAAAAAGAAGAAAAAACAGAAAAGGGCTGCTTTTTATCATTTGTTAATAGAGCAGCTATGTTAACAAAATTGACATCCCAACTTTTGAATTAATATCTATGCTCAAACAGGACAACAACAATTCCTATGCACACATACATGTACACACAACTATAGGCTACATATGCATGTACCAAAATACGGAAAAACATACAGGTGCTCGAGCACAGGGATGCTGTATTTGGCGTTATACACCTGTAAATGATCTTCCTTGGATAATCTATTCAGCCTATGAAAGTTTGATAGATAAAAGGTCTTAGAAATATAAATGAAAACACGTTTATTTCTAGCTCCTGCAGGCGTGGAATAAGGGAGCTTCAAGCAATGATTGAAGCCCCCCCCCCCTCCCCCCCCAAAAAAAAAATTGTTTAAAAATAAATTGGACTGTCGTCAATATCATTAGTCTTAATTGTTGACTCTATATTCTATTTACATGTATGAATGCTACCCATATTTTATAAACACTGCATGTCAATATTCAATATTCAGTATTAAAAAGCTATTATGGCAAATCGTCCTGTACACCCGTGTTATAATATTCTGTGTATTACCGAATATCTTGTTGTAGGCCCTACATTTTTGTCTGTCTGGAAATATATGTGACACGCCTTGACAATATTTTTTTTATATTTCCAACTGTCATCCTCTTTTTACTAAATAGCAGACTTGAATACATTCATAGCATTTCGCCAAGCTACACATGTAGTTCTCGACTTTCTTATTATAACCAGAGTTTTTCAGTGTGCATGCCACATACTAGCCAGCCAGCCAGCCAGCCAGCCAACATGCACGGATCTAGAGAGGGTAGATGTATTCCCCTG